TTGACATCTCCCGTCCAACCTCCTGCACCATGTCACTCAGTAGGAATCTGAACAGCTGGACTCGTGACTCGCTGTGTGCATCGTGACAGAAGAGGCTAATGAAGAGAGGATAACGGTTGAACTAGCTCAGATTTCCATATTGCCGGGCAACTCAGTTTCTTTGCTCCTTTGCTGAGCGGATTGATGTCACATCGGTACACGTGAACCATCACACCTACCATAAGCATGATGTTGCTCCCCCTGGTCGTTATTTGAATACCCCTGATGGCTTTTCTAGAACCTCGAGACCTGCGAGCTGAAGTCCTTTAAACATCCGGGTCTATTTTTCCCAAATGAGTCGGCCCCTGATAATTCGCAAGTTTCTGCACTCAGAAATGTTCTTGATGTAAAGATATTATACTGGTGGTCGTGAACCATTAGCTCAGTGCTTTGTCCAGGCAGGGGACAAACGCTGAAAGGGCAAGGAGCAAGCAGCATCCAAGATGGTCGTCATTTGCATGTCCGCATCTACTCAGGACGTCCATCTTGACCTGATTCTGCCCAGCATCCTTCTCGACTTTCCTTTTCTCCTCATTTTGTCCTTATTCAGCTTGATGACCTCCCCTCCAGAAGTCCGAAATGTCCGGGAACCATGTTATCAGTACCTGACCCAATAGCAATGATGATCCGCTATAGCCGCACTCAGTGACATTCGTCCAGGCCTCCTTTGGTAGAGTCTTGATGCGGCGGACGTAGGTGCCATGATGTTGTCAAGGATGCAGGTCCGCAAATCCTCACAGTTCTGCGGTCGCCGGCCTGTCGGGCACCGAGGATAGCCTGTTGCCTAAAGCGGGGCATTGCAAAACTCAGGGCGCTTGGCAGACTTTTCGTGAGGACGTCAAGATGAGGAATTCGTCGGAACTGATTATTGAGAATGCTTGCGGCTTTGAGAAAATTATTGATGGTAAGTGTTTTCCAGATTCAGCTCGAGCTCGTGAAGGTTGAGGTGCTTGAGCAACTCTGCATGGAACCTCGCTTGGATATTCTTGAACCCCAGTGGTGCACTCCAGCCTAGACCAGGACTACAGCCCACAAACTGAAGTTCTTTTGTAAAGTTTAGACTTGCCCAAACACGCAAACAAAGCATGATAAGCTTCATGTGTCAAATATCCTGATGTTCCTAATCTTGTCCTTGTAGTATATCGCTCAATGTAGAACAGCAAACTTGTTCGACCAGCCGCTGAAACGAGAGAAGTAGATTTTCTGAATCTCGAGGCCGTGTTCTGGAGGTTTCCTTGGACGGCTGCTCCTTCGCTGAAGCTGCTGTTCCGAGCCTAGCAAGGCCGCGTTGTGGTTAGTCTGATGCGGTTCTTGTAAGGATTTGGCTGCATGTCTATCACATGTGTCCTACTTACCGCTTTTGTTTCTTGGGGTTGTTCGTCCTGAGCACAGAAAGCATGGTTGTGGCCGCCATTTCCACCTCACAACTCATACTATTTCCTGACATATTTGTACGATTTCACCTTGTACTGTTGTGGACATACCTGGCTGGCAGGATTTGCCTCAATGTGCGCAGCTTCTCACTGTGCCAGTGCGGTGCTGGTGAAGGCTTGCACTGTTGTAAGGGACGGTCAGAAGCAAAGCAAGACGCATAAGCAATGCAATGCTTGTCTCTGACCTAAGCCGTGTTGCGAAGCGAAATACGGCAGTACTTACATCAATGTTCATGATGAGGGTGCGGCTTTTTCATGCGCCCAGTAGCGCTGGAGTCTTCTCTCATGTCTGCATCCGGCCAAGATAAACCAGCCCAGTTTCCAGCTCGCCTGTGGAGCATCTAAGGCTTTGCGCATGCCAGTTCGCCAACAGATCAAAAGCACTACTCACCCCTTGTAATATAGCCGAGTTCCAGAAGCGCGTTCCATGCAAGTACTATAAGGCTTTTTCTGCACACTCAATCCGTCAAATGTTTGTTTGAGCAGCGTTGCGATCTTCACTTACCAGGCTCTTTGGGCCAAAGCTTTGCCGTGCATCTGGAGGTAGGGAGTTGTGCAGATGCACAGGGTGAATTGAGGTACTAAATAGATGGGGATTGGGTGTTGGCATGTTTCTCATAGTCGGGTTTCCTTCAAACCCCGGGGGGTGGGGTACATGGTGGTTGCCACTTTGGCGGATCGTGGGTTCGCGTAACTCTTAAACAACTGTGCCAGCGCCTCACTGCCACAGAGGGGCTTTACCTACATGATCTCACCTTCCAGCAAGGCCCAGGGTCCATTGAATTAAGGAACCTTGAGCACATGGGCACAAGTCTCAAAACCATCCTTCAATGTCCTCGATCTGAGGCTTTCAATCTTCAAGTTCCAGAAACCTGCGCCCCTGGGTCCTCGCAGGAAGACACTTAATGGGGGACATTGCATAAACCTCGAGAGTACCTGAAACCATTATTCATGGAGCCTGGAAGCGAGCACAGAGAATCGTTTCAGGTGTTTGAGAGGTCAGACTCCACACTGTACACCCCAAGGCCCAAACATGACGTCTTCATGCTGAATTAGCAACTTGATCGTCCTACCCTCCCCGGTTTTGTTACCGCCCTAGCATGTACCCTTGCCCGTGTCATACCCGTTCCGGCTCCTAATCACCAGCTTCATTCCTGCAAAGCTGCGCGTCTGCAGGAATGAATTTTGGGGTTCGTCAGCCCGAACGAAGGGTTTGTCGTAAAAAGCTAGCCTCTCCGCTGCTCGGGTGATGAATTGCAGAAGGTCCGGGAGGGTCCGGGAAATGGCTTCTAGATTGCCTCTTGAATCGAAATTACTACCATCCTCAAACTATCACGAAAGTGACGATCATGTCATTGCGCTGGTGAACTGCTAACCTGAACATAAAACTGAAACTCTACATAGATTCCAAAGAAAACTGGATGCCAAACCTTCAACTCCCGAAGCCTTGAAATCCCAGATACAATCCCAAACCTCAATCTCCCAAGCCTTGAGTCCCCAACCCCAAACCTCCAAACCGGAAAACCTCATGCTTGGAGCTTTTTAGGCCTCCCTCAGAAAGTACCACCACCCTGTTGTGGATGCAACCTAAACTCTAACCCCTAAACCCGACGCCGTAACCCTATATAAGCTCTGGAGGATTTGGCCCGCGGGCTGGGACGCCGAAGGAAAGGTGGAGCAGCTTCAGCTGGGGGGAGGAGCTGCAATGTAGAACCTAAAGCCTCGAAACCTTAAATCCGAGCCTGAATAAGATTACCTAGTTTAATTCACCGCCAGAACCCTATCAAAATCAAATTTAAGCCCCTTGCCTTAGCCGGAGAGGTGGTATTGAAGGAAAACCGCTGCATAAGCCGATGCGAATCTTCTACTAGAGCCAGAATTTTGAAAGAGACCCCTTCCCCTGTGTCAGAAGTGCAAACTTTGCATGGTCCTTCCAGTTCAGGGTATGGGGCCTGACGCCTTTAGGATGTTATGAAGGCGTCCGTCAACCTGTTTTTGCATATGATTATACATGTGTATGTATCTGTTTGGTATAAGGGAGAGAGCAGTGGGCTTAGGGTTTTAGGGTGTCCGCAAAAAAGGGTTGGTGAAGGATTCGTGCGAGGTATGGAGATTCCAGGGTCCGCCTCAAGCACTACATGATGGGCCTTGTCTTGGCAGGGCCCCTCACGCCCTAAACCCTAAACATATACGCACGTCTGGAGATCCAGTTTCCTTTTTGGGTCTGGCATAGCGTGTGCAGGTCCATGGCTGGGGCCGGGCTTTTTGTTGCCGGTGGAGATGGGGCCCTTCAGAAAATGCAAAGATAAGATTGCAGGATTCCCATTAAACATCCTTTTTGTTGACTTTGTCAACGGCCTTGTGGGTCTGATCCTGTAGTTCTCGCCTAGAAAAAAAAGCCCAGCTTGTACAAGCGGCCCATATCAAGTCGTCACGATCAGATGAAATCCTCATTTCGAAGTCGCCAGTATGCTGCCCAAAAGACGGCCACAAGTGGATGGAGTCAGGATATTGATATATCATACATAGTGTTTATAATGATATATACAAATGCATCCCAGCTTGTTTGCCCGTTCCTGTTACCAGCATTGCTGCGGGAACAGGTCCTGGGACCACCTCGGCAGATGCTTCTCCTGCACAGGTCGCCTTGATACTTGCAAGCGCACGGGCTGTTTTCAATACTACCAGAAGTCGAATAGCTAAAGTCCACGTTGGGCTATTTATGCACCCACATTTTAGAATCCATGGACCTGCAAGTAAACCTGAGGCATAACCTGCTGCATCAACTATTTTGTTGTGAGTTGCGCGGGAAGTTTTTCACTGATCACGTAGCCGGCTTGCCCATGGAGCTGAGGTCAGCAGCACTTAGCACATGATAGTGTCGTGGGGAATTAGCCGCCTACTTTGACAGGTGTCTCGCTCTACACGGGAGAGGCAGCGGCGGTCTCAGATACATGTCGTCTTTGGCGTTGGCTGCAACGGCAGCGCAAGACACTGTCTATCCAGACCTTTGTGTCAGCGAAATGGCCGGCAAGGGTATCATATCATGTGCATGGTCACTGCATGGCTCCATATTGAGAAGCGCGGTGTGCTCATGTCATGTAAACATGATCCAACATGAGCGCATGCGATACGGTGTTCCCAGATGTTGCGGCACTATGGGCGGGCTGGCATTAAATTGATCGAAGCTCGTGCCAGCAGCTGTCATGCTTGCAGATCTAAAGCCAGGAGCTACGACGGCTACGTATAGTCTTAGAACGAGCTCCGCAGCTGGACGGAAGCTTTGCGAACCTGTGCCTGTCCCCAGCTATTCGCCATGGTCGGCCTGGCCAATTGGCCCCGGTTGCTGCGTCCCATGGCGCGACGCCAACGCTCCACAACTTTGGTGGCCTTGAGCCTGGCCTTGAGCTCGCACTTGGCGCACCTGTGCCTGGCTTGCAGCTTGGGGTCTTGTGGTGGGCATGGTGGGGATCTAGGTTGGCTCAGATGTCGGTTGTGGAGCTGCACGGTTTTTGTGGCCACAAAGAGGTCTTGGACCGCCTTGCCCAGCTTTGTGGCATCCTGGGCTCCCGCAGCAGCACCAGCATCACGGCATTTCAGTGGCAGGCTCCTGTCGGGCCCTACAGTGCGGGCTCTGGCGAGCACGGTGGAAGCAGGGCCAGCGGTGAAGACGCTAAGCGAGGCCGAAGGTTGCAAAGATGAGGATGGCTGCCTCTTTTTGATGCAGGATTGCTTTATGCAATGGGACGTGTTTTATTGGTACTTGTAGTTTTTAATTTTGAAAGTTCATCCGTTTATGAAAAGTGTCACCTCTCAGTTGTACGCAGGGCTCCAATCCCAGAACAGCTGATCGCTGTCTCAGTAGCAATTGCCCTGGCAGGCAAGCCTTCAAGCCCAGGCCTTTTGAGTGGTTGAGTGTCAGGCTTAGTTTCTTAGAAGGCTTGTCATCCCTGATGTTTCTCCACTGTTTACTGCTTGGGGCTGTGTAAGTCATACTGCAAGAAGCGTACCCTTATGCGATAGAGCGAGGTTTTCGATTACCTGCTGATTTGGCCTAGGGGAACCGCGCAAGTCTGTTTTACTACAATCCTTGCCAACATGAGTGGCAGAAAAGGGCTTGGCAAAGTCTTAGCCTTCTATCGTGTAGAGGTACAGGCCTTCCTGTGAACTTTGGGGTCCATTGATGCTAGGATCATACGATATTTAGGAAACATGTGGCGTCTTATTACCGAATGTCGTTCGTCCACTTGATTCGTCATCATTGGCACAGGTGAGAGACCCCAACCCACCCCTGCATTTTTTTGACTGGTCTATATGGGGCCTTCCTTTTCGTGGTACCCCCTTTAAGAAGAGTTTCGAAGATGGAACTCCAGCAAAGTAACGCTTGTTACAAGCTGCAAGCACTCTTTTCCTGTAAGCAGCAGTTTGTCCAGGGGCTGGAATGGCATGATTGTAGAAAGGCTTGTCTGGACCCTGTGAGGAAACCTGTTCAATCTTTGCATACACTCTGCGCTGTATCATTGTCATGGCTATTGTTGCTTTCCCAAGTTCTATCGTCACTCTTCATACTTGCCACATTCGCACGCCAAGAACACCCAAAGCCTTCCGAAAGATGCGACGTGGAACCTTCAGTACCTCGCAGAGTCTAAACCTAATCGAAGACCAATGGCAAAAGGTAGGCTCATGGCAAACACCATGGCAGCCTTGAAGCTGTAAATCTTAAGCCGCTCACCTACCTACACTAATGGAAAACCGTATGGAACACGAACTGGAACCATCCCCTAACAGTTTTCATTTGCATTCCGCGTTAACAGGTTGAAAGCCTCTTCCAAGAAGCGCTCGCGACGGTCGCAGATGGAGCCAAGGTTCGTGGAAAATTCCTGTATCCCCCCTTAAGGGTCCAAGGACTCAAATAATAGGGTTTTAGGGCTCAAATACAATAATATTCATGGTATTTGGACCCTAAGACCCTATGATTTGGGTCCTTGGACCCTTAGGGCCCAGTTACCTACAGCGTTGCAGTAATTACCCCTGCTTGCGTAGGTATACCCCGCATAACAGTATAGATAATTGGGTTCCAGGTTGACCTCATATTAGGGCCATGAGGACGGCTTCGTTCAGAGGTTAGGGCGGGTTATAGGGTTGAGGCTCCCAGGTTCCAAGGTTCAGCAGAAACCCTAAAACCTATATAACCCATCATAGTAATTTCCATTTTCTTTTCCGTTATCTATAACCCTAATACCATTTTCTTTTCCATTGTCTATAACCCTAATTTGTCTGTACAGCCTAGCCCGAAAAATTCCGCGTCAGCGGGCGAGGTGCAGAGGCTTTTTCCGGGTTTTGATGTCACGCTGTGTTAGGGTAAGCCTTCTTGAAGGACGCTTCGTTGAACTGCTTCCCCAAGAGCTGTTCTGATTGTCCAGATCTTGTTGTTGAGCCCGATGGCAGGTAATGGTTGCGCCGGCGGATCCGCGATTTGGCGACTACCAGTGCCGCCTAGCTTTACATACTATTGGCCTCAGGCTAGCCAGCAGCCACTTGCAAATCGAGGAGGCGCCAGGTAATGCGCGGGGTTTGTCTTTCACTTCGGTCTACAGGTACCCATGTCCGGGGATCAGGTTGGAAAGGACCTGGGCAAAATAGTCGCGGAGACTGGAAGAAAGTCTCCGAGTCAAACCTTCTGCTCGCGAGAGCTGCTGTTGGCGAGCAGAATGTTTAAAGCTGGTTTGGCGGCCTGGTGTTTACATAGTCCGTTGTCTGGGGGGTTCCAACAATTGAGGGTTCCTGCTGGGGGCCCAAAAAAGGGGACAAGTATTGAGGCGCATGAATCGGAAATCCGCGCGGATCTATGTAAGTGTAGGGTTGCTGTTTCACGCGCCAGTTGCAAAGAAAGTCCACTGACAAAGGCAGCATTCGGTCTTTGTTTTGGATCAGGTGGAGGCCAGACTGTGCGCCTACACGCAACGTGCGTCGCAGTGTTCTTAGGAGTATGGTTTAGGGTTTTGGGTTTTTGGGTTTTGGGTTTCGGGTTTAGGGCTTATAGTTGCTTGCGAGATGCCAGCTCAGGCAACAATGCAATGGGCCTCTTCAAGCAGAGCAAGAAGGAAGGCGGTAAGGAGGGATGGAAGAGTCCCAGAAGCTTAGCTGCAAATCCTGCTAGTGGCAGGGCGCTTTTAGGCCGGAGACGTTCTGCTGGATGGAATCCTGAATCCCTCTCGAATTTCCTGGAACAGCCACACCATCAACCCTATAGCTTTTCTTGGCATATGTGTACAGAGCTCATGGAAAGGTGTAGACGCAACACAGAGCATCGAGCTGAGGAGATGTCGGCGAGGCGATCAAAGCAGCCCTGCCCGAGGCAGCAACCAGCCTCTTTGAGGAGGCCCCTGCACTTTATTATATTATTATTACTATTATTGCTATTATTACTATTATTACTATTGTTACTATTATTACAATTATTGCTATTATTACTATTATTACTATTGTTACTATTATTACAATTATTGCTATTATTATTATTACTATTATTTGGTGTCGCATACGCTTGGATTTTGGGAACATAGGGCTTGTGGGTATAGGTCTGCTTGGGTGCAGGGTGTGCATTGGGTTTGTAGGTATGCATTGTTTGGGGGGCTCTTGGGTTGGGGACATGCTGCATTGGCTTGCAGACTTTGGAGTTTGGGCTCCGGGTAGGTGTTTGGGTGTGTCATTACCCATGCCATTTTTACTGCAAGCCGTCCTTTTTCGAGGCGGTGCCAGGGTGTGAAGCAGATCATGGAGACACGCCTTTTTGCGTTTGGTGTTATTCTGTAACATTGGTGTGCTGCAGCCAGGGGCTCTAGAAGTCATTATGCTTGCGCTTCTTCTTTTTGAGGAGGTGTCCGTGCTGTCGTCTGCTGCTGTTGGGGCTGGTGCCGATGCTCTTGCTGCAAGTCTTCCCCCGCTTCCTGCTCTGACCACTGCTATCACTATTGCATCTGTTGCTGTTGCTTCCGTGAACCTATCACTGATTTCCTATATCTAGCATCATCACGACTACTACATTGCAAAGTCAAGGTCAACGTGGCGCCCCAAGGCTTCATCACAGTGAAGCTGAGCCCTCAGTGGCTCTATCAGTGCCTTGGCCCCGTTACTCTGTTCACGCACGGCTTTTAGCGCACTTCCTCCTGCAACTTGCATGGCTGAGCAGTGCAAACCTGATATTTCCATAGTTGTCCCTGTGCCTGTGGTTTAAGCTTGTTGCAAGTACCAGATTCTGCTTCCACACGCCACGCCTGCAAGGCCCTACCTCATCTATCTAATGCACGTCTACATGCGCCATGCGCACAATTCATACCCTATAATCCCCATACAACCCCTATATAATCCCTATATAATCCCTGTAGTTTCCATTTTCTTTTTCCAAATATTACCCCAATATACCATTATTACTATTATTACTATTACTACTATTACTATTACTATTATTACTATTATTACTATTATTACTATTACTATTATGCCTGGTACCGAGGCAGGTGGCAGACCTCTTTGCCAGGGGACTTCAGCTTCGTAGCGAAGCGCCACAGCGAATTGTGATCGACTACTCCTCCCCAAACATCGCAACTGGGGTGCTGATGGTCAGCAGCAATTAACTCCTTAGGAGTTATCTGGACCCTACGGACCCCTGAGTTTGGGGGATACATACCAAAATAGGAATGTTTTGTAGGCGTCCGTAGGGCTGGATTTGACGAGCTATGTTTGTGAAAAGAAGAGGCAGATTTTAAGAGTCTTTGCAGGCAGCATGGTCCCATTTCAGCCTTTGCTGCTTGATTTGTAGACTGCGCGAGGACAGATTAACGTGTTCTATGCTTCAGACCTTCACTTGGCGTTAAGAAATTTTGCAGATCCATCATGGACACACCTGTACGGTAATTTGCCGGAGGATCCCAAGTACAATGTTGAAACTGCAGACTGATGACAAACCCCGATTGGTACAGCAAGTCCACCACTTCGATTTCAGCCAGGTCTTTGAAAATAATTGATTCTCATGGCTAGGTGTTCAACGGTTTCCGGCACAATTGGGGGGAAAGGCGGCGTCCTTTGGCAGACTGCCATGGGACAGCGCTCTGCCTTGCATTCGGTTGGTGATGATAGGCCCCTTCAAGATGCCTGATTGGCGTTCCAAAGATTGGGGGTCTACTATAAGGATCAGAAAATTTCAGGGATGTAGGGGGATCCATATTCTTCGAAACCCCAACATCTCCAGGAGAACCAACCCTGAACCCTAAACACTAAACCCCAAACCCTTAACCCTAAACCCTAAATCCTAAACCCTAAACCCTATCCTAAATCAGTTGAGGCAAAAGAGATGCACGTGGGCCACTTGAGGTCGACGATCCTTGGGGACACCATGGCAAACCTCTTCGAGGATTCCTGGGTTGCTGTTAAGGAAATGGTTTAGGGTTTAGGGTTTAAGGAATTGAATTTGAGTTAGTATACTGGGGAAACCCTATTTTATGTATACCAGGATCTGAATTTAAGTTATATATGTACCCCCTAGACTGGAGAATCAAATGGAAAAGACAATGGGAAATGACATGGAAACTGGGGGAGCATCGGGATTTAAGGGGCTTGACTTAAGTTACTATATTGGAGAAATCCTATTATTCATTACATATATATATATGCCCAGTAGGGTAACTGAATTTAAGTTCCCTAACAGCAACCCAGGATTTGGGCCATGACGTGGTGCGTCTGAACCACGTGGGAGACTGGGGAACGCAGCTCCGGGACTCCTACAGTAGCTTCCATTTCCTTTTCCATGACAATATAGAACCCCTTTCGAGGTTATGTAATTTATATATATATATATATGTGAGTGTGTGTATTTGTTTTGACATCCACCATAACGGGTTCGTGGTTAGTGACGGAGTGTTCTGAGCTTGTTTGTTTTTGCTGATTTTGTTCACGGGCTGTAATACTGAAGTGCACCAGATGATTCGGTATTGCCGGAGCATAAAGAACTCACAGCTCCTTGCTGGGCCTGGACTTTCCTTGCAAAAGTGCCCCAAGCCCTACGCAGTAGTGTTTTTGCACCCTGTATAGCTTGCGTCCATGGTGTGTTGGAAAGCCTAGGTTTGGTATGCTTCTAGAGTTCATGAGGAGCCTCGGTCATTGGATAACACTTTTGGACATCTATGAGTTTTGCATACCTGCAGACTGGAAGGAGCTTCTGTAGAATGATTTGAGTGAATTATGTATCACAGCTTAGAGAGCCCCCAAAACACTCTTATCTTAAAGTCTGAACTATACGCAGGTCCCCAAGTGCGAAACCATAAACTCGAGAAGCCCCACCGACAACCTAGGAAAGAGAAGGCCCTGGACGGGGAGGCATCCTCTATGGTCGTAAGTGACCTGCAGAAATTCTACCGAAGTGCGAAGGAAGCCTTCGACGAGGACAGAGACTTGGCGTCAGGTTGTATAAGAATTGCCAAGAATGTGAATAGCAGTGCCTCCTACCAATGATGATGATAGTTCAAGTAGGCTTTCCTGACTGGAGTCTTTGTGGATGAGGGCTACAAAGCTGGAATCTCTACATAGGGCCAACCACAGCCCAGGTGAGTTCAGGAAGAAGGCCCAGACCAACGTGGTTGAGCTCCAGGGCGGGGCGGACTGGGCTCGGACCGCCTGGAACCGCATTTGTGAGGCAAGCCGGAAGGAGTTCGACACCGTCTATGGGCGGCTTAAGATCCAGGGCTTGCAGGAGCGCGGGGAGTCCTTCTACAACGAGATGCTCCCTGGCGTGGTTGCAGAGCTGCAGGACAAGGGCCTGGTGACCGAAAGTGACGGGGCCCTGTGCGTATTTACAAATGTGTCTGAGACACCGCTTATTGTCCAGAAGGCAGATGGGGGCTTCGGGTACGACTCCACAGATTCTGGGTTGCTGTTGAGGAACGTAAGCTAAGTTACCCTAGCTTGGAAACCTCTTTTTTTGCAACATCTTCATGCTGTGGTATCTGAATTATTCCCTTGACAACAACCCAGGACTGTGCCGCTGTCCAGCACCGGATCAAAGAGGAGAAGGCCAATAGAGTGATCTACGTCATCGACAATGGCCAGGAGCTTCACATGCGAATCTGGGTTAGTGTTAAGGAACCTAAGTCAAGTTACCGTATTTATTAATGTACGTATACAGTATATATATGTATACAGTGAAGAGCAGGGCTTCCTTATTATAACGACTTAGATTAAGTTCCTTAACAGCGACTTAGGAATGGTATTCAGTGCTGCAGAGCAAGCAGGATGGCTTTCTGGAGGTTCCCGCTTGGACTTCATGGGCTTTGGGCTGGTTCAAGGGCAGGACCGGCGCATGAGAATTAGGAATTATGGGGTTATTTCAAAAGGACATGTAAACTCCAACCTCATCAACTGACCAACAGAGCTTCTCCAAAGCTAACCTACACTCTTCCAAACTGACATGGAAGCCCATCTAGTCCCCTGTAGTCTTTATAGGGCCCTTTTTTGGCTTTCCATGTTAGTTTCGGGGAGTGTAGACCCTGAACCCAGAGGATGGTAAGAAGTTCAAGACACGGTCTGGTGAAGTCGTCCGCCTCCGAGACCTCTTGGATGAAGCTGCGGATAGGTTGCCAAGCTTGCAGGTTCAGTATATAGATTTATGATTCAGGTACACCTTGCATTTAAAGGAGCTGGCAATGAACTTTTCCATTGAGCCTGAAAACCTGTAAACAAGTTCGATCGGCGAGGCAATAACAAATCTCCGCCCCGGAACATATCTCGATTTTGATTCAGACAGACTTTCTTCTGCTTGTGCTGCTAGCACTTAAGCGCTTCGACCTGTACAACTTAGTCCTACTTCCACCCCGCTGGTTCAGTATCACGACTTCGCCTCCGTAGATCAAAATTGCAAGACAAGTTGCTTTGGTGGGGTACTGATGTGAGATTGACATTTGAGTTTAAGCTTTAGGTCTTATGGTTTCGGCTTTAGGGGGACACTTTGAAGGTTTTCCTTTGGGTTTATGCAGATGTCAATTGGGCGTCATGCGTTCTACAACTAACAGTTTGTGCTCACGTCAGACTAGCGTTGCACGTTATGCTGTTGTTTCGGAAGCCGCAGAGCAAGGGACCCGACATCATAAGAGCCTTAAAGCCCTTCTTCAGTCCTGTAGAACCCCGTGCGAACCTTAATATCACGAACACACATAAAAACAGAACCCATAAGTTTGGCAAACCTTCCTATCAATCTTAAATCCCTTCATATTCCCGTAGCGGCGCGTCCTAGTCCCTATCCTCTCTGCAAGCAGACATTCATGTCTGTTGAAATACCCAATATACTATAGTAGTTTCCATTTTATTTTCCATTATCCACTAAACTATATATATATATAAAACCCCAATATAACCCCAATATAACCCTAATATAACCCTAAACCCAATATAACCCCAATATAACCCTAGCCCGGCTGAGGTCCGAGGTAGAGCTCAGAAAGCGCGCAGAGAACGCCAACATAGTCTTGGATGAGGAGGGGTTTAGGGTTTTCGGGTTTTTGGGTTTTTGGGTTTAGGGTTTAGGGTATAGGGTTTAGGGGACTAGGTTCTAAGGTTTTAAGTATGGGCCCCTAGTATGGGCCCTTAGGCCTTTCTAGGGACCCTTAAAGGTACATATAGGGTATATATTAGGTATATGAGGATCCCAGGGTTAGGGGCCCAAACTAAGAGCCCATGGTTTCAACCCTAGATGGACTTTCCACAAATTACTTGCAGAATCTTTGCTGAGGTCCTTGGATGTGGTTTAAGATATCGAAGTTCCCAAAAGGCCCCGAAGTTAACTTTGAGAAGCTCGCACATCCCAAGCCCTATTCCACAAACGCCTATGTGCCAGATATTTCTATGACCACTTTGAAGATCCCCAAGGACCCTCTTATTTTTGAGCGATGTAAGTTTTACACAAAAGTGCCTTCGGGGCTTCAAGGTCTTGAGAAGCGTATGCTCGGATTATAGAGTTTCAGACTTTTGGCTGCCGTTTGTGGTGGTTACCAATGAGGATCTAGCAAATTTTGCCCGTACTGCCTCCACGATCAGTTGCTGGTCTTTGCAGGATGTTTCTTTCATGGGGGCAAATTTGCCTGCATGTCCCTGCGCTGCTGGGAAAGAGCTCTGTGCTTGGACTCCCAACAGTCATTGCCTGAAAAGATGCCCTATAAGACCAGGGGATACAGCATCATGGTAAGACAAATCGACCGTAAGCCAAAAACCTGAAACAGGATGAGCTTAAGACCTTAGCGTCTACGGAGAGGCTCCTTAGCCTGTTTGGGAATCAATGGCCCAGGAGAAAGAGGCACGACTGAAGCAAAACGCCGAGAGCATCGGTGTAGCCGCTGTGAAGTACTTCGACCTCCGCCAGAATCGAAACTCTGACTACCGCTTCTCGTACGACTCCATGCTGGACCCCAAGGGCAACACAGCAGTGTATGTCCTGTACCTAGACCGGTTCTTTTCAGAGGCTTCATTCAAGGAAAGGTATCTACATGTCTGAATGTAAAACCACTTCATAGGCGTAGGCCTACATGTCCATCAGTGTCCCTGATCATCTCACTCAGGTATGCCTATGCCCGAATTTCCGGCGTGCTCCGCCGGGCGGACTACGAAGTGGCCTCCTTGTCCCCCTCCGAGCTAGAACTGACCGAGGCTACACCAAAATCAATACTGTAATACACTATGAGCCATATTCTACACTCCCTAAAGGGGTTCTAGAGGGGACTACTTTAGGGGCTATCAAGCGGGATATTAGGAGTTTAGACTACAGCTCCTATAGCCTCAAGCCCAACATCCCTAGATTCACTGGGGGTTCGTAGGGAATAAGGGAATATAGTATACAGGGATTGTACAAGGATTAGATATATTCCCCTATTCCCTACTAACCACCAGTAAGAAGACTTACCACATTAAACTGGTCCCTTATAATAGTAAGAATAATAGTAATAGTAATAGTAGTGATATATTGGGGTTATATGTGGATTATATATAGGGTTTGTATATATATATATAACCCTAAACCCTAAACCCTAAACCATACATATAGACCCCATCCTTAAAGGCCCAAACCTTCCTCGAGGCCCCGGAGAGGGCTCTGGCCCTGCGACTCTTGAAGATGCCCGAGGCAAGGTGAAGCTGAAATCACAGGAGTACATGGGTTGTAGCCTAGATTCTGAGGCAAGATGCTTCCAGTGCGGTTGGGGTCAAGGGTTCAGGGTCTAGGGTTTGGGCTAGCGGCTAGAGTTATGGGTGTTTTTTGTAGTGCAAAGTGCGCAAGCAGGGCCCCTTTCTGGACGGTAGATGTGACAGGAATGGTGTTTCGCTGTGCACACAAGGGTTTCTCAAACTGATGTGCCCTTTACTGAGGATCTGCTACTCTGCCTGCTTTCAGGACATGACCCTTACAAATCCTTTGCTCTCCAGAGAAATCCCTGCGTACTTCTTGAGAAGTGCGGACAAAATGAAGAAAGCCTTCTATGCACTGGCAGGTCCTTGCGCAAGTGGAGGACGATCTCTTCCCCAGTAGGCTGGTGGACGCTCGGATTTGTATCCTTCTCAGGAAATCGGACCTTCAAGCCAAGAACAACATTTTCGGCTACATAGTCTCATGGAGCAATCCTATCTAAGAATCATAAGGACCACATGTACAGCCTCGCGACTGACTTCTCCACCTTCTACACCGAGTGCCCGGTGGTTGGTTCGGAGCAACAGAAGAGCCGCCTGATCCTCTGCGAGGCAGGAGGTGTTATTCCCATAGGGCGACAGGCCTGAAAAGCTTTATTTAACATGTAAACGAGCCCTAGTAGTCTCCAAGAACCCTTGCTGAGGTCCTTAAATTGTTGGGGCCCATTATAACCTCATATATTCATCGCCTCGAACGACGTGCCCCCTTCTTGTTCATGTTTGGATATGTTCGTGCGCGCCGGTTGATGCAGCTTCGCATTACAGAGTCCCGGAGTGGGTTGATTTCCCTAGAAGCCCATGGCGAATTTAGCCTAGTGACAAGTGGGTTTGTGGATCGTTTGAAATTTTCTGCTTGACCAGTTTCTTGTGTATGGTACAATGAGTATGATACAGCTGTGACTTCATTGTAGCAGATGTTGTTGCTACAGCTTCTTGTTATTGTTTTCTTTTAGAATCATCGCTGTAGCTTTTGCATTCTCACTGCCTGTACTTCCACAGAAGTACTAACCCAGGAAGCTTTGAGCAGCAAGAGCGAGAATCTGTAAGGTGGTGCGGCGGCAGCTGGCTTACTGCTTGGGACTCTTGCGGATCGAGCCTTTTGAGCAGCTGTGAGATTCTCTGAAGCTTCTCTTTGGGGCTTCAGAGCGTATGTGGGAAGTGCCTCTGGTGATGTTATTGTACAGATGTAGGGTCTAGTTTGGGCCCATATGGGGATATACTGAGCACCAGGTAGTTAAAGAAAAGGAAGCCTTACGTGGGCTGCTGCCCTGGCAGTCTTGACAGAGAGCAGACCGAGCAATCGAGTGGGAACCTAGCAAAGCAGAGCGACCCAGCTAAACAAAAATCCAGGACGTATCATCTAGCATCATAGAAAGCACCATCTCTTCAGATGACGACAATGATAATAATGTTGATGGTGATTCAATGATGATGATGATGATGCTGATGATGGTGATGATGATTTGAAATAGTGGTGTCTGCAGCAGAGCAAGACTGGCGCACTATTAGGAGAAGGAGATTCCCATTGCGTTCGCGGGAAGTTGCTCGCAGTCAGACGGCTGCCCGTTCTCGATGATCGATTTCTTACAAGCGCTCGGAGTGTTGTGCCTGTGCCTAGCCAACTGTAGTATTGGCAATACTAGCGAAAGCAGGTAATAACCACAGAATACTGATAATGTTACTAATAACATGTTTTAGGTGGCCCCCCCAACCCAGTAAAAGAACCTATAATGGATAACGGTGATGGAGTTACAGTCCTCTGATATTCCCATTATACTACTAGGACAAGGTGGTGGTCCGCGGAACATGTACTACTCATCCCAAGTTGCCCGTCATTTTCATGACTACGCTCCTTGATCTAGGTATTTGGTGGCGATCATCTATTCTTATTTCTAGGTGGATGAGTTGTCTTGAGTTGTCTGCGGCCTGTTTAGGATTCCATGTAACCGGATAATCGAAGAAGGCCTAGCCAGGCACAATGAACTTTGGCTGGCAGATGAGCATTGTGCTGTTTTTCACGGACTTGCAGTGCACATCAACGGTTTTCACAAGAATTTTCAGGGTAGTATCTGCTCTCAATGCGAAGACGACAAAAATTGCTCCTGACCATACCGCATGCAGCTCTTCACGTGCAATGCCGGATTGGTTTCTTATACTGCACCCGCTTCGTGAGATGGCATGGGCTGCTTCATAAAGGTGTGCCTCTCATCATCTTGCGTACTTCCAACAGCAGCCAGTACATGCGTATAGAGAACCGTTACCTGCAACCCCCACTGGACCACCTCAGCCACACGTAGATGTTGTACTGCCCACTGGGTTTTCGGCAGCAGCAGCTGCTGCTTCATCCAGTTTGCCACCCAATGTCGGAAATACTTGCTAATCTTGAGGAAGATGAGGCCCCACGAAAATTTAAGTTACAGTAGCTTCAGTCTACCCAAAGGCTCCTGTGTTTGAGATTCTTTTTGGGGGTAGTGTAGTAGAATCCCACCAGCGATATCCTGAAGCCCAGAAAGGGACTAATCAGCCAGCCCCCTGACATTCTTGCAGAAATGCTCATTCTGAGGAAGTAGGTAGGTTTCTGATTCAGGGGAGGGGGTTACATTGCACCAAACCTTGGGACCCCCAACCACTCACTGAGGAAACGGGGAAAGGATCCCTACAGTAGTCTCTCTGTACCATAAACCCTGAGACGCTTAAATGCCCCACAATCATAGCCCCTACAGGACCGTAAAAACCCATCCCTGCATTCTCTATTAACCAGCCATTCTCCATGTTCTTTCCATTCGATTCCCGGTTATTTGGGGGCAGTATCCCTGAAGCTTTGAACATCCTTACTTATATCCCCTCCCCCTCGACCCTAAACCCTAAACCCTTATCCTTATGGTCTAGGCTCCCACTACGTTTGATACTCCGAGAACTGCGGCTCCGCGAGCTGGCCTTGCGGGATAACAGCGCCTGGAGCCTCAGGTTTTTTTTTTGATTTTTTTTTGTTAAGGGTTTAGGGGTTGGGGTTGAAGGTTTAGGCTTGAGGGTTTAGGGTTTAGGATTTAAGGTTTAGGATTGAGGGTCTAGGATTTAAGATTTAGGGTAAGGATTTAGGTGTCTATAGGGATATTCCACCCCCAAATTAAGAATGGGAAATCAAATGGTAAAACGACACGGAAAGTGAATGGAAACGATACATAAGAGTTCTAGCGTCGTGTCATCCCATCCCCTAACATTAAAACCCCCCCCCACCTGCCTAACGTGAGGCACATATGTCCATAGTTTATAATATGTATGATTGATATATTGAAGAATAAGGTGGTGGCGGGTTGTAAAGTTTGGGCAAGCGGACCGTTAGGTCTGGGGAGCTAGGGTTTTGAGGGTTTCAAGCCTCTGCGGTTTTAGGGTAAGGGCGGGGGGTGCAGGTTAGGATTTGGGGGTTTGGGTTTGGGAGCCTCACTTTAATGTTGAAGGAGGCTGCGCAGAAAGCCTAAAGGTTTGAGGGCTTGTCGGAAAGATCATGTACAGCTCTAGATGGCCTCCAAAGTCAACAGACAGATTTGAGTGCATCCTCGAACCCACAGCTACTCATCAGTCGCGTCCTGAAACGTGAGGCTTTACAAGTATCCGGTAAAGCTCTAAGCAGGTGCAGAGAAGTGGGTAGGCTCTGAGAATTTGACGGTTCATGGCCTTCGATACAGCCAGCACTAAGAGTTAATGACGTGCTTGTAGGTCTTGCGAATTTGTGGCTTGAGTTCTTTCGCCATGCCTATGAATGTATATCTGTGCGTGACCCACGTGTTTGCCCCTTAAGGGTCCAAGACAAGCACAGGTACAGCTCCTGGTCAACGCTATCTCATGGTTGCGCGTCGCCCGGCGGGATGCGTCTCACTCTCAGACTTTGATACTTGCAGCGCTCGACCGCTCTCTGGCAGGCATTTTATGCCTTGCGACTGTTGCGTTCAGATGTTAAAGCAACATCTGCTGGTCACCGAGGACCGGAATATGTCTAAATACTTGTGTGCAAAGTTGCCTGGACCATCCTCGTTTACTAGGCTGCAAAGTTCCCAGGTAAACATCTCAGTTGTTGTTTTCCTGATGCTGGTTTCTGGACTTCCCCCTGCGCACTTGGCTTGTATTGATCTCCATTCATCAAGCGGAGCTGCTGACATGTGTCTATTGCTTTGAGGTTTGCTCGTTTTGCCACGGATGCGTGCTTGGTTGAATGTTGACGTGGATAGCAATGGGCAGTTTGCCAAACACTTGGGATTGTGTCGTGCCTAGGGTGACAAGCACCGCGCAAAACACTAAACGGCCAAACTCACATGCAATGCAAAGTTTCAATCCAGACTCTTACAAGCTCCCTGTACACGAAGCCTGAAGGACAGACCGTTACCCACGCATGCACCTCGACGCCCTCAATTCCAGCAGCTTAAGTTCCAAGACCCTGGGGGGGGGGGGGCNNGAAAAAAAAACATGAAACCTCGAACCTCAACTCCACATCGGTTTGCCCGGCATGCGTCACAGCCAGGGGGGAGGAAAACCTCCACAACTCTAGGAGATTTCTTTCCCAAGGCAGCCAGGGCCCTTGTTGCGTATTAGAGTCGAAATCCTAACTTCTGCAGCCCCTGAACGCTCAGCCTGAAGCTCTGCAGAAGCTTCACAGGGCCGACTTGGAGGTGTTGGAGCTTGATGGGCTGGGAGCTTAGGGTTTACGGTTTAGGGTACATAGCCAGGCAAAGTATCATGACCGCATGCACCTCGCCCTCACCCCACATGGTTGCTTTTGGAAAGTACAGTCCTAAAATGGCTTTGTCGGGCTCCGCAAAAAATATCATAAAGTAGGCAGCATAGAGTTCTGGGGCGCTTCCCCCTAATAATTGATCGTAAAAGAATTTCCCTTCAGTATGATGCCCAGTATATACTGGCCTCTTGTAGGACATCATCTTGGACATGAGGGGATGGTCAGGTGTTTGACATTCGGAAGTAAAGCACATAGAGTGAGGGATATTCTAGTGAGGGGGGCAATCTGCTTGGGGAGCATGAAGCGGAGTCAACTGCAGTTTCCCCGTATCAGTTGACATGTAGACAGAATTCTGAAAACTAGAGTGAAGGTGCGTCTCTCCCATACTCAGCTTGTGGTAGCGGCTTCCATTGCGGCGGCCGTATTCGCTTTTTCTTAGAACTTCTGCCTATCGGCTGCCTTAGACTTGCACACAGCAAAAGCACAGGTTCAGGATAGTGAGGCTGAGCTTAAGCCGAAATGAACTTGAACGGAGCACTGACCATAAGCTCGCAAGGTGGGACCTAGTCACTTCAACTGCTGACAAGGGTTTCCTGCAAGGCTCCTGACGATGGCCCGCAACCTAAAGCAGAGGCAAACACAGAACACTTGATCCAAAACGACACCACACCGTGCCCTTCGACCCAACTCCCGAGCATCTGCATTACCGGCTACCCCACAGCAACACTCCGGTGAGCTCCGGACCTAAGGAACCACTTGACCCAGGATGTTGCCCAGACCTGAGTTTAACTTTGTGGTTAGGCGTACTGAGGCATTCGGCTTAAATTGGGGGTTTCCCAAAATTAGGGGTACCATTTTGGGGGTCCCAATCCCAATAATAAGGATTATAGTATATTGGGGTCTATATTGGGGTCCCCCTATTTAGGGAAACTACCAATTGTCTTTGTGGAAAAACATCTGCCATCAGCACTGCGCAGCCTCTGGCCAGAAAAGCTTCGATGTCAGCATGGGGACATTGTTGAACGTCGGGTGGCTTCCTTGCTTAGGGTTTAGGGTTTAGGGTTGTTCTGCCAGGGATCAACACATCTGCAATCAACGCAGGAGAGCTAGCATGCGGGAGCTGCTTTGCCAGAATGGGGGACCTCATGATATGCCCGCATGGTCTTCGAAGAACAGGCCTCCAGCGTTTTTAATGGTAGCTGCAGACCCCGAAGTGGAAAAGATGACATGATTCATGCTAATCAGGTTCAGGTTAGTTATGACTACCCTGAACCACAACGCAGCCTAATTTGAGCCTGAGACACAATAGTTTTGATAAATAGGGGTAACCCTACCTAGATAACGGAATACTACAATCCTTATCATTAGGGCTCCCCTTATCTTC